GTTTCAGCCTCTCAGCTTTTCTGGTCCCGGAGTTTGCGATTTTCCCACCAAAACTTTCACGCAGAATCAGGAAACAAGCAATCAAGAGGATCCTCTGGAGAAGAGTGGGAGAAGAAAACTGCACAGATTGAAGGGCAAAAGTGTTTAGCAGCTAAGTGGAGCAAATGAATAAACCATACCTTTTGGGACGCCATTATGGGCAGCTGGGCGTTTTCGTGTATTTTGTGGCTGCTCCACTGTATCAGTGCTGCCCTGTGAGTCTCCTTTGGAAGGTGTGGTATCACCGTTGGTTTTTTCGCTCGATTTTTGAGCGGTATCAGCACTTTTTTGTTCCGAAGAAGCTTCTTCCTGAATGCTCTGCTTCTCCTTTTCCGCATTCTTGTTATTACTGCTTTTGCTGCTGCTTTCTGCTTCTGACTGTTCAGCAAGCTGCATTGCGAACAGTACTTCCGTTATTATTTGACCAACTTTTGAGTCCATCTGTAACTATATGAAGTGATTGTTTTATTGCTACAGTTTGCTTTTCAGATGCATAATATGCCAATCTACAGTTCATATTTGCACTATTGCCTTTGCTTGTTCCTTTTCCCAGTCGCAATGAAGTGTAAATGGGAATCACATTCCCAGTTCTTTTGTGACTGTTATTCAATGGTTATTATAGATTTATCCTAATCCCCTTCCCTTAAGGAGGGACCCAATTTGTTTGCTAAGGAGGGACAGGATGTGGGGTAAACGAAGTAGCGAGGACAAAGAGAAATTAGATTACTGGGGGCAGAATTGGGATTTTAGGACTAGGGTCACAGATGTTAAGTGAGGAGGGAGAGGGGATCGTATTACGATGCCCTGACCTTAGAATTTGAATTTTACAACCTTAGGGAAGATAGGGGATTAGAATAAACTTATAATAACTATTAAATAATAGTCACAAAAGAAAAGGGAATGTAATTCCCATTTACAGGAGCTCCTTTCATGACCCGAAAGATATGGATTCATAAAGGTAAGGGAGGGTCATGCAAGGTAAAAAAGCATTTGGTAACTATTCAACATTCTTCTCGGGTCTCGTTTCTCTTCACCCAGTCAAGTTACGCAGGGAAATCCCTTTCGTCCGATAAAGTGTGCCTAAGCCATTAGACAATCAAGCATTTATCAAACTATTCAATCATATTATATCCGCATCTGTCTCACTACTTCATCCCCATCTCCATGATCCAGGAAATTCTTTAATTTCAGGAGGTTAGCTAATTGAATGACAAGACAAATATACAAAAATATTTGTCTTTTGTGAAATCCGTTTTAA